GCATTAACTAAAAAGAGTAATCACATTTCACTCGCATTCTTGTGTGTTTTCAGACTACTGTATTTTACTGTCACCACAACACAAATGTGCTGTTTCATTATGTGACTCTACATTAAGTAAATGCTACTCTTGCTACCATGCTTTTGAGATTTTTAGGAGTGTCCAGTTCCTTGCTGGGCACATGGGGGCTAGCTATAAAGGACGGGCTGGGGGAAGCAAATTGAAATGCAACATTGTCAAATTTCGGGTTTTTTTGTGACTCCCGGCTTTTGCAATACTGGTTTTCCTGTCTGCCTTTTTAAAAATCTTACTAGCCGACTTCCACTCTCCACAACGACAGTACAGCTAATTTTTTCATTATTATTTTTTAGCAGCAGTCTATAACTCCATTTCATAGCCAAGTTTTAGCAACTGTATCGTGCCTCCATTGTTCACCTAGAGACGAATACGTAATGCTGCAGCTACCTGAGCTTGCTCCAGTCAACAAGCACCCATGGCTCATCATGTCCCATCAGGTAGGCTGTGCTGTGAAGCTGAGCACCCTTCCCTTTGGTTTGCATTTGAACTGGTAAAACAAATGCACCTGCAACACCATCTGCATCCTTTCACTTTTAAGCGAAAGGCATTTAGTGGAGAGGAGCTATAGTTAGACTTAAGACTGTTCTCACAAATCCTAAACTTTGGGGCTGTATTCCCAGTTGCCACCAGGATGAAGAGTTGGGGTCCCACTGCCAGGAATTCTCCAAGTGTTTAAGCAAAAGTAAGTATTAATGATCAGATTTCAGGATGACAGTCTAAACCAAATATGTCTACAGCAATTCAGGTTTGGTAAAAAAAGCAAATCTCAACACAAATTAGACATGTATGTATTTTCAGATAATTTTTTTTCAATTGGAAGTGGGGGAGAGCAGAGCATATATGAGGAATACTTGAATTAAACTTGCAGTATAGATATTTATTTACAATGATTCCTGAAAGTCAGCAGCCTGAATACACACCAATATAGCAGCAATTACCTGATCTATTTAATGATGCCACATCTCCTCTCTTCTGCAGACAAAGAATGATTGTTCAGAGGTCACTGTTTAGTTTCTTGCACGAGAGAAAATAGTACGTGCAAACAATGCCTTGATTTAAAGGGATTAAATCATATCTACGCAACAGCTGTGAGAACAGCGTGAAGTTGTATTGCTCTTCATAATCAGAAGCACATTTATCTTGCTTGTAAGGAGGCTAGAAAGCTTCTCTGATGTAAATGTGCCTTTAGAAAGTGAGAACTGAAAACATTAATATAAAAAAGTCAAATAACTAAGTATTTCATGAAACTATATATAAAAATTGAGTTATCACAACTAAAGCAGCAAATCAAAATCTGCTGAGGTTTTCTGGTATAACTAAAACAAAAAAAAAAAGTTAGTTTGTGTCCAAGTTCAGTAAGTCAAATGCTACCATCGACACAACAAAACTAAAACCCACAAGAGGAAATTGAAAAGTGCACAATGAAATTAATAGTCTTGGATCAAGTATTTATGGAAAAATGGAAATGTTTTGTCCGGTGGACTTGATAAGTGAGAATTGAAAGGAGGTATTAAAGTTTATCTGATCCAGATTTGGCTTGCCGTTCCACGTAGAAGAGGATGTAGGCCTTGGCCTTTACCACAGTCTCCTCGTCGGTCAAAGTTACAGTACTGTCGTTGAAATGGAACCAGCGGCCTTCGTGAGCTGCGTATGCGGTGTAATGTCCAGAGCCAACGCTGTCAGCAGGGGGGAGGCGGGGAAAAAAGGGACAATCAGAAGGAGACAGACCACCCCATTCTCTGATGCATTTTCTGTTAGGGCTAAGAGACTTCCAGGAACCAGAGGAAGAAAGGAACTGGCAGCCCTCCACAACAGTTGGTAAGATGCTTCCCTTCTTAATCTGTGGGGCTCTCAGTTCTCCAAATTAAAGTTTTATGGGAGGTAAAATAATCACTTACTGGGATAAGCTGAAAGAGGGTTTTATATTAACTTATTAGCATTCCATAGTTTTTGTGCAAGCAAGGCTTCTTGCAACACTGAACTTCCACATTTGCCTACCTAAAAATCAAGTCCATTATCTGTTATTACTCAAGCATCAGCCAAAAAAAAAAAAAAACCTCACTATGCTCTGTTTTCAGAAATCTTCCCCATTTATGTCTAGACAGACTCACACAGTCTAATCAAAAACCCTCACAGCAAAACTAATCCCAGAATACCAAGAAAAAAATTTTTCAAGTTCATCTTAAACAGCTCCAGGTCTTGGAGCCGTATTTTTTGAATCTAATATACCAGAACTACACGCCCATTGATTTTCATTACCCTGCCACCCCAAGATAAGGCCTGGTTTCGCTTGCTTACATGCCATAACACAGGCTCGAATGTTTCCAACATTCTAACCATGCCCAGCTTTCCTTTGCTGTCCATATAGTTTTCCTACAACTTTAAAGCACCGGTCAAATGCACGGTGGTGCTACAAGGGTTGCCTTGTAGCAAATCCCTCTTTAAAGAGAGTCCAGACTGTTCCTCTAGAGAAAGCAAAAAAGAGAGGCTTTCTGGACAGAACAACTGTTTTGTATTTCTGAATTAAATTCAGGTATTGGCAAGGTTTTGATTAATATCGTTTAGTTTCTTTAAGAAAACTGCTTTCGCAGCTCACACCCATAGAGTGCCTAAATAACATGTTTCTCTCAGGATACAGTTGTCTGGTTCCCTACTCCCGTCACTCTCAACAGATCCATCCAGGACTGGGAAAAGGAAAAAACAAAACAATACACACCCAGCAACTCTACTTCAGAATATGAATGCCAGGCCAGGCTGGCATGTTTATTAGCATTCACTTTGAAGTTCACTCCTGGAGGAGGGACGGTAATACGGAATCATTGTTTTCACTGTACCAATCCTAAGTCTACAGCTGTTCCAATCATGCACATGCACTCTTGGCATAAACGCACATGCGCCTTTCAAAGGGAATAAAAAAAGGAAAAAATATTTCTGCTTTGTATTAAGAATTTCAAAATGAGGCGTTAACATCTGAAGGCCCCTTGATTCATTCTGTGGGTTTAGGGCCTTCCATTCCTAGAGGAACAAGACTATTTCTGTTCTGTCTCACACTTCTAGTCATTACCCCCCCAGCCTGCCAATGGGCATTCACAGGAGTAACTGTATATAGATGTAGCTGAAGTTAATTCTGCTTTGTTCCATGTAAGTTTCTAAATTACTGCTTATTTCCACTAGTAAAAATATAGACATTCACTGGGGACAGAAAAACCTTAATTAACTCTGCAAGTGCCTCAGTGGGGAGAAGGTCCCTTCCAAGAAGCAGGCTTACTCCATGTACTCACCCTGAACCATGATGCACAACAACAGCCACAAGGTCATACAGGCAGCTTTCTGGGCCACTGTTCTCAGGCTGTGGTTAAAAAGACAGAAAACTCTTCAGAGCTCAATAGTACTTACTATAATCTGTAATAAAGACACATGTCATGGAACAAATTTCTATAGAAAGTATCTATCTACAAGTCTTCATACCTCTAACAAGTAGCATTTCATGTCTAGGCCTCGTAAGGGAAACTCAACATAAGTATCAACCTTGTTTCTCAGATATGCTGTCCAGTGAAATCGTTTCAAGTGTAAGCATAGCACCTACAGGATTTAAAAAACACAAAAAAACCACAGTGGATGCATTAGCGGAAGAGGTTGAACCTGGTGTAGACAACTGCAACAGCCTATGGGTGGGTTAGGCGTTGGTCTGCTAACGTTTCCTTTGGCATACTGTCACCCTGTTACTTTTCATGCTTATACAAACCTTTGGTAGTTTCTGAATCCAGAATTTTTTGGTGGACTTCTGTTTCTTTTTGCATTTGTGACACATATACAGCTCTGTCTCATCAAGTTCTTCCAGGTCTGTAAAACTGCGAAGACAATCTAAAAAACAAACAAACAAACAAACAAACAAAAAACCCCTCAAGCTGATACAAAAAAACACCCACCCAAAGAAACCTGATTCAAGATGACACAAAGTGAGATTTTTTTTTTTTGTAACATGATGAAATAAAACAAATAAAGCACTATATAGAAGGTGTGCGTATCTGCTGCAGTCATTCTAGTTATTATAGTCACGTGTGCAGCAAAAAAAGCTGCGTAATAGTGCGTCTTAATACAGCAACGTGTTGTAACATGCAGCGTTCCCTGTTCCTTAAATATAGCAATACAGCTCAAGAGGGAAAAAAAAAAAAAAAGGCATTCATGAAATCACTACCTTTCAAACACGATTCCATTCAAAATACAGCACAACTATTTTCAAAAGAAACTCAATGCCTTTCTAACACAGAATAGTCAACTTCTAAAGGTGATTTGGTTTTATGTACAAAGTGAACAGAGAAAATAATGGGGTTTTGATTAACAGTTCACAATCCACAACAAGTATATTCACAAGTCTCTAAAAATTAATAGCCTTTAAAACCAGGTGAATAACAGCACTACTGCCCAACTTGGCAGAATTGGACTTATGTTGTTGAAAAAGCAGAACACCCAAGAACCATCCTTACTATATATACGCAAGGGGCATGTACTTCTGAGCACAGAGCCTTGGCAAATGCCAACAGCCACCAATGCAGATGAATACTGGTTGGAAAGACTGGAATACATCATTAGAAATACTCTTGACCACAAAGAAAAGCCTCTGCTGGAATCCTCCTTGGTATTTAGCTAGCCTGCTGAAGCACTTACCCCCAGTTTATCATAATAGTCTGTCAATACACAGTAATTGGGGTAAAACCTGTGTGGAAAATGATTTTGGCACCTTCTTCTACCACAGAATCTCATAAAATTAGACGGTGTGGCAACCCAGTCACACTCTAGGTGAAAGCCTGGCTCCTCTGAAATACATACTCTGAAGAGCATATACTCTTACTCCTGGTAATGATTTCATTTTCCAAGTATTCCTACCTCGTAGTGTGCACATTGGTCCATTTTCTTGATTTTTAGTACGTTTATTTCTGAATTGACTTGGAATATCTAGTGAAAGGTCTAGAAAAACAAAGATAAAAACATTAGGACTGAATAGAACAATGCCTAATCTTTTCAGGCTAAAAGTCTGACTCAGTCATGTGACCTCTAAAGATAGCAAGCTTCCGCTTTATTTATTTATTTTTCCTTAAGTCACCCCATATTTTGAAAGCAAGAGGCATCTTACCTAGGAATGGGTCAAACTTTCTAGATTCAGTCCCACATATTAGGCAGTTGACTTCATTTTGCAGAATGCCTCCAAAAATTGCTGTGACAACAGTAGACGCTCCATTTCTAGACAAACCGCATCAGAGAGGTAAAATCAGTCAGCATGTCTGAGCTTAATTTTCCGTGTCTGTTTCATCTTCACTGCTTACAACTTGGCACTACTAGGCAGAGCAGTTTTGTCCACATGTAACAAACAGTGACCAAGTTCATCCACCGGGCACTTCACTCACCTCCAGAATTGTACAGTGCAAGTATTTAGCTGCTATATTCTGCTTTATCTTGCACCTGAAGAAAGTGTGAACCACGTATGCTCTAAAGGCAGATGCTCAAAATTTCAGTGTTTAAAGTATTCTGGTTGATTGCATTTCTGAGAGCTGATGCTCACAGGGGTACCCTACTTTAACCCTGTAATTAAGGCTGTTTCTGAACCAAAAATTCTTCCCTCTTAGCTAGGTCGAGCATGTTTTTGTTTTCATTTTATACCCTTTGTTACAAGTAATTTTGACTTCTTAAAGCCTATTTCTGCACTTCGCTTCCAAAGACAGCTTCAGTTGCATTAAGATATGATGAACAATATGCATCATCATTGTTCTCTATGCTTTCAATGCTCTCTTAATCTTTTTAGCAGATTATGTAACAGACTTACCTCTCACAGTCCAATTAAAATAAAAAACCCACCACATTTTAAAGTTGCATTATTATACAATGTTTAAACTTGCTAGTTTGTGGTTGCAGATCTGACACCACAAGCCTGCAGAAACCTGCGTTCCTTATCTGCACTCCACCTACATCTTTACAGTTATGCTGAACGCTTCTTGTTGAGCAGAAGGAAATGGCTACCCAAATAAACAGGTGCTTAAGAAAAGAGCATTCACAGCGTATTTATTACTTTACTGTAGGCATTTAAGTGTATGTGACCTTAATTTGTCCTTGACAGAAGGCAGCTTACTCCACCCTCACCATGCATTGGAACAGCCATTCTCAAGACAAATTTACAACAGATAAGGGAACAAAGTTTAAATCCTCTCAGGGTTCTGACATTCAAAATGGTAACAAAACACAGTTGGTTTAGTCTTCAAATACACTTCAATTCTAAGAACATTTTAGGATTCTTCTGTGGGATTCTGAAGCATCAGGAAAGCAACACCAATGTGGTAAAGAGCACAGTCCAAACTCTAGGCCTTCCCTCATGAAGCGGCTGTAAAATCCTGCATCTCTCAGACCTGCTTGCTATGTCCTAATTGGTATAGGAAGGGAAAAACACACTCAACTCTTATATATGGAATTTAGGGACCAAATGTGCAGCCTGAACTGACTTCCTGAAGCAAATTAAAATGTTTTCTCTCTCTGACAGTTTCAATCTGAGAGAAAACACACCTGGGCCGAATTCAGAACCAACAGCATTTTGAGAACAGAAAGAGGAGTGAAAAACATGCATTACCTCTGTTTCAAGACACACAGTAACAGAAAAATCAAAATTACCAGGAAAAAAGGCAAAAGCTTTAACTATGTCAAGTGATAGGCAAATACAGCTAGATCATCTGCAGGCAATGACTTCAAATTCTCACTGCATTGCTCACTCGTTAATCCAGGAGGTCTGCTGACAATTCAAACCTACAAATACTTGGCCATCTTTTTTGCTCCTGTATCATTCACGCCTCTGTCACCCTAAGACAATGAGACTGTCTGAACAAAGAATTCTATATAGGTATAGAATAGAAAATAACAAAGTGCTTTCTTTTTATTTCTATTTCTGATGGACTACTGAATTAAAAATGTAGTCACGATTTAGCCTGTATGCTCGCTTACATCTGTGAAAAGTGCTGATCCTTTTGAAAGGAAGCCCATCCTATAGGATGCTAATCCTTTATAACCTGCAGCTTTGTAATTCATAACATTACAGAAGCACTTAAGAGCACAGAAACAAGGAACCATGAACCTGAAATTCCAGATCCACCACCCACAGACCCATACAAAGGCACTGAGGTTTTGAAGAAATTAAAAACCACTTCTTACATGCAACATTTGTTGCTGGCAGACAGACTAGAATTTTCTTGCGAAATGACTGAACGTGAAACACCATTGAAGCCACCCTGGAGTTCCAGGTGTAGATGGTCCAAAAGGTAACGCATGAACTCGTGGGCATCCTGTTGCTGGTAGCCCCTTAAGAGAAAAGGAAACAACAGCAACAAATTCACCAAATATACAGGTTGCTTTAGACACACAGAGAGCACCAGGGTCATGTGAAATAATAATAATAATTATTTGTTCAATAATACGGAGCAGACCTTATAGAGACAGACCTATTCTGTACCAAAACACTTTTCCAAGTAGCATTTGGAAATGGACAGCTACATCTAGACAAACTAAGCAATTCTGTTGGGAGAGGGAGGTGATGGTAGGGTACCCAAAGCATCTCTCGAGCATGTGGATTTGGTAGGCTAGGGCTCCAGTCTCAGATGCTGCTCAAAGAGTCACCATTGTTTTTTCACCATTAACAAACCTAATCGAAGGGAACAGAGAAGCCATCAGGGTAAATATCCTTTACAGCTATGTAAGCTAAATCATGCATCGAAGTTAACAACTGCTATTCATTTGCCATAACATGCATGCAGAGATGAAGTCAGAAAGCACATATAGTAAAACAGCAAGAGCCTGGTGCAACACCAACAGAATTAGGTGCAAGTCTTTGCAGGCCTAGTTACAAAAATCCCACATAGTAAGGCCGGCTTTCCCTCTTCCTCCTGTCCGTTCATTTACGCTGCTTTATCATGCCTCCCCTGCCTCCCCTTTTTCCTCCTCACTATTCTACCTAAGTATTGACAGTAGCTGTCACATATGAATGTCTGGGAAAGAAAAACACAGATTTTTTTTTATGCTACTGCTCAGGGCAGGGAAAATGTCTGTACAGAATCATGGCACAGTAGCCAGAGTTGCAGAGAAATGAGAACAGACTCGGTGCAACCAAAGGTCGCAACATGAGTTTGATGTGCTTAGTGAAGAACACAAGCATGCCCTACCAAAGTCTGGCTAGGATGCAACAAAATAAAAATTAAATAAAGCCTTTTCATCTTGTAGAATTACAGTAATGTTTTCTCCCCAGCCAGGAGCTTTAAAAGAAATCACAGAGTTTGTATGCAGATCTGACAGCACCCTGAAAAACAGTAGCACTACTTAACTTTTACAACAGAAAAACTGGTGCACAGAAGCACTGCTGTGCTTCAACACGCCAGAGTCCCATCCAGCCCAAAATAGGACTTATTCTCCCCAAAAGTTGCCAAATAATTATACATTACTATGACACAAGGTAGCAAAACAGAACTCAGCTTCAAAGCTGCACGTTAACTGCGCACACTGTAGCATAATTTTGAAGTTGCCGAGATAACACAAGGTTTGCCTAGTTTACTGAATACAGGTATCTTCAATTTAATAAACATATATGCAATCATAATAAACAGCTGAAGATGAAATTTATGGAAAGTCTTTGCTTCAGACACCTTTTCAACATTAAATTCCTCATAAAAGAGCTCTGACATATATGGCACCCTTGCTCTGCAACAAACTTGATGAAATAACCTTTGGAATCACTCCCCATTGTTGGTTGTGCTCCTGGTGCACGTGCTTATACTTGCACACAGATATGTTAATTATAGATGAAAGATTCTTTGGATTTGTTAACAAGCCCAAGTATAGATACAGATCTTAAAGAACATGATAATATGGATGATGCACTGTGTAAAATAAACTACAATCTAAAAGCATGTCAGTAAAAAGCATAGTTTCTCTGATACTCTGCTTGTGTAATAAAACTAAGTAAAAATCCACCTGAAGTGATTCAATTCCAGTCCACCTCTGACATTCCTTTTCCTACCAGCAACAAGATAGGATATAAACAAGAACAGTAACCAGGAAAATAGAGCAGACTATTTATACAGCAGTAAATCAGCAAAACACATGGCTTGCAACTCAGTATGAAGCTACAGAACTGTCTTGGCATGCAGCAGAACGACAGCAGCAGACTTTGTCCAACAGTCAAGAAGCAGGACTTCCACAGCAGCATCAGATCTCAGAGGCACTCCAGTTGTGCTTATAGTAACTCCAAATTATATTCTCTAGTCTCTGTCTGCAATATCAGACAGAGGGCCGTGGAGTGCAGCAGCAGCAGTTTTTTCTAGGACCTCCTGTAAGAAGAATGGCACTTGCAGTCCTTGGGGGCGGGCACGACATGCCTTTGAACAACTGAAATCTCTTTGTGCTACAACAATTAAACCAGGTTTCCAACCATGTTTCCTCCCCCTGCCCCAACACTTCAGGCATCATAAGCACACACCAAAGTAGCTGCTTTTATGTTAACATGCTGCTGGCTCCAGCTTTCCACGTCCATCCACCTTCTCCCAACCTCACAAGAAGCGCACAACGTAGAACGAGAATGGTAGCATCATTAGCTTTTACAAGGAACAATCAAGTGCTGAACAAATTCAAATTTTCTCTCTGGATCATGTGGGAGCAGGGATCTACTGAGCAGCTGACTCTGTTCTCCACGGGATTTAATGAGTTCTCCTATTAATTCATCATGGACGTGTTCCTAGCTAACTGGGAATAAAAAGGGGAGGGGGAGAACCCCCCAAACCAGCACCTTTTCTTTTGAAAGCTGAAATAGAACCACAGTGCTGAAAATTTGCTCAAGGAACTTTAGTGAACTGGTTTCTCACTCAGTCTAACAAGAACTACAGTGAAGACTGTAATGGGGAAACTGGTCAAGGACATGATGGATGGTGTTCATCTGCCTATCGTGTTTGGGTTGCTGCTTGCAACTACTGGTATTAAACTTCCTTGATTCTCATCAGCCAAGTGAAACGTATTTGGCAGTGTGAAGAACAGATTTGTGTTATTCATTGAGCAGATGGGTTCACAGCATCTTTTCAGCACTGCTGGAGATGTAACAGATAACAGAACATCTTTTCTACCTGAGAACACGGAGCAACTTACCTTCAGCACAATATATCCTAACAGGTTTCAGTGCTCCTTTGAAAGAGGTTCAGGGGCCAGGACAGGGAGACCTTGGAGAGGAACGATACTTCGATTTACTTGGATAACCTTCTTTTCCCCTTTCTATCGTCTTTTTTGTCAGTTTGGGCACAAAACACCTAATATGCATGAGATTTTTTTTTCTTATAGCCCTTCTTTCATGTCCAGCTAGTGACTACAGTATTTTGAGAGAATCAAGGAAGTTTCAGCCAGTACATTGGCATTTAGGCCTGGAAGTGCTGTACCTTTTTTAATTTGACTATATCGCTTTCTTACTGGGGCCAAGCTTGGGTTCTGTCAACACCATGCACTTGGCACTCACCTACCAGTCCTTACCTAGATCCTTCTGCCCTTTGGAGCACTGGCTCAAAGGTACAACTACTACTACTGTAGTATTTGAAATGTTTGTCCTCTCCGACACTGCTACATGTAGCATGTGGTAGAAGGGCAGGTGGAAAAAAAGCACTATTGATGAACACAAAACTGTTGATCAAAGCGAAGATCCTTTTCAAAGCATATTTGTGGGAATATGGGAAAGCTGCACAGAGCGCATCCCACAGATACAGGAAATTTTAGAGTAGGACACCAGCAATACAAGGTTGCAATCAAGAATATTGCTCTTATTCTACAAAACTTACCTAAAATTTGGCATGATTTTCCAAACAACGTAAAATAAAGACTCTGGACTAAATGCAGTTTGGCTTCCTTGCCATAAAGCACAGAGTGTCTTTCTGAATTCTTCCACCAGTGACCTGGAAAAATAGTAAAAGCTGGTGATTAATATGGGTTTGTGTTATAACCCTCACAGGTTTACTAGCTCAACAGTACAAATATCAGACATTACTTTGGTTAAGATTGTAATGACTGGGTAAATAACCTTTCCAGTACTTCAAAGATTTTATGTCCAAAATCCTACCCATAACACTAGAGAGATGGGGGGGGGGGGGGGGGGGGTGTTAGGAAAACTACATTTCAGATCTTGAGGACTCACCTGGAAATCTATCCACCTCTCGACATTTTACTGTAGACTCTGCTAACATCATCCCTCTAACGCTTGCTCAAACAAGCTGCGGGTTGTGAATCGCTTACTCCGATTTTTTTGGTTGGTTTGTTTTGTTTTAAATATGTTCACTTGCAGACAGATGCCCATGACTGTATTTTAGCTGTAATTAAGTGACATAATGTCTGGAGTAAATAACTAGCACTTCTTAACCTTACTTCAAATGCAGTGACACTTCAGTGCTTTCTGACTTACCTGGTTGCTTCCCCCTGCAGCACCACACCTATATAATCAAATTCCAAGTGATACAAGTTTCTTCTTTTGTATAGCCAGCTATTTTTCTATGACTCTGTCTCCCCATGAATCATTTTTTTCTATGAATCTGCAACACTGAAAGTGGCTCCACTACCCAAGCATTTGCTGTTTTCTGTAAAGTTCAGAGCTAACAAGGAACATGCAGCTTACACGTTGTTATCCCCCTGGCTCCTGGTATGGTAAGTTCGTCTGCCTGCCGTCTTCCCATTCCTCAGCTCCACAGCAGGCAACTCTTTGAAGTAACAGCAAAACTGTTGAATGTTACTATGGAAAAAGGAAAAATGAATGAAATCCTTAAAGAGCAGAGAACAAAGAGAATATTATATATTCTACAGCCCATCCTTTGAAATGCATAAACACAACTTCCCGCAGTTGGTAGAGGATGGCAATCACAAACAGTTCAAGATACATGAAATACTGCAGAAAATAATCCTCTTCTGTAAATGACTAGGCAGATCTGTAAATATCATCATCCCACCTACTTGAAATACTTACATTTTGGCTCTGCTTTGACTGAGAGATACCATGACAGACAGAGGTATCAGAAGGCACTCCCCAATACACCAGACTGCAGCTGCTGAAGAGGTTAACTCCATGGCTACCGCCACCTATCAATCCCAACCTCCTCCATACCACAGTATGGTCCCAGTAATGGAACCCAAGAAGCACATGCCTCAGTTCCTGCCAGTGAACTCTGACTGACCAAAAAGTAAACGGAGACCCGTTAGTCCTGCTACAGCCTGACTCAGTAGTCTTCCACTGAAGTAGGCAAATTCAGAAACGCGAAAGGACAATTGGAGACCAGCAGTGGTCTCAGCAGCAGTAACTTGCCAAATTCCCTTGCCTAATGCTACAGCACACAACCACTCCCACAGAGGCATGGGGCAAGCTTCAGGGGTACCTGAGCGACTGAAGGATTGCATTCATGAAACACGTATTCCCCAGGTTCCGAAGGCCTGTGGCACAAAGGGCAGTGGTGCTTCCCTGGAAATGAGAATGGTTACATTGAAGAAAGACTTATCTTTGCTCCCCCACTTTCTTCCCACAGAGCTTTTACTGTTACATCAGCATAGATTTAAACAATAATAAACTACACTGTTTGAGAAGTGCAGTTTCAATGCCAAAGCAACCACCTCACCAGCAGAAAATTAGCTCCCACCTTGACCTGAAACCTGTTTCCTACTCATTCCTGTCAACAGTAAACTATGCTATATCTTTTCCTCTGCAAATAAATCTAGAATACAGATTTAGACAACACAGAGTTAACCACAGGCTTTTATTCCAAAGTATTTATGTGTTCAATAATGTTCAGTTTGAACTGGACAGTGATTTTCCTGAAGTGCCTTTGAAAAATGAAAATCCCCATCCTTATCCACCTATTCCCATGTCTAATGTGCACAGTGGGACACCCTGTAGATTGTTGTTAAGTCACCAGCACTAGCCTGCCATCTTGGTGGGGTTTTGTGGTGGCCAGGAGGGTTTTTGAAAGACAGACAACAGCATTTATTTGGGAAAGAAACAGTCAAGTCAGACTGTGCAAAGAAAAAGCAATGTGTTGAATGATGAGAAGCAAAATATACACCATTGACAGTCTAGGAGTTTCAACAGGTACCCACTGGTGAGCTTGCTTTTTGCCAAATGATCTTCCAGGTGGGCTGGGAGGAGAGGGAAAAGAAATGTGGACAGTGTTGCATTTATGATTTCTAGAATCCACAACACTTGGACATATTCCATGGTTGACAAAATATCACATTGAAAGTTCCTCAAATTTTGGGGCATTCTTCATTGTTCTAACAGAATTTAAAAGCTAGACTTTCTTTTAGTAGTAGTACCTCAAAATGAATGTACTACTTGACACCAAAGACTGCATTCAAATCCAGGTTACCAAATACGAATTCAAAGTGTGCCAACAGAACTTTTTTCCTCCCCAGACCTACCACAAACATCATCTCTGGTGAAGAACTAATGACAGCAGGATATTTGTGTATATGTATATTCTTTTCTCACGCTTGCCCAGGGTGAGACTGCAGGGTATTAATGCGAGCAGGAGTGCACTGTCTTTTCTAGATAAAGATCCAATGTGTCAACAATAAAAAGACCATCTGTTGCCATGGGCAATATTCAAGTATTAATAAAACTGAGAAAACAGCACAGACTACGAAGAATAAAAGCAGCATTAATTTCACGCTTTCTAATTGTGTCTTCTCCATATCTAAATGTTGCCTATAATTTTCCTTCTGGTTTTCACTGGCTTTGACTTTTCCAGACAACGATGCTGTGTGTTGCCATAGCAAAAAACACACCAAGATTGGGACAGTACAGGAAACATATGCAGCACATTCAGAGGACCCTAAATTGACTGTAGGTAGCGCATTTTTAAAGTAACTACACCCCTACAGACTTTGCAAAACAACAACTGACTGCCTTTCTCCCACCCCACCCCCTTATTTCCATTCATCCTCCTCTCAAGAACTTCTTCTCTTCACAATCAGGTAATTGTTCCTCGTAACTGAAGACATCTATGACTTCAGCTCCTTTTGACTACATTGCTGTCCTGCAGCCCCAAGGGTCAAGGAGGAATAGCTCTACCACTCCTTCTGGCCGAGGGTGAAAATGAAGCAGTTGCTTACAGCTGGGTCAGTATCTCCCCTCTCTCTCCCTAAGATCTGGGAGAAATTATGAAGATCAGAAACTCCCTCAACCCAAATTGCAGAAAACAGAGACATTTGGTTTGGGGCATTTTTTGTCTGGACAAAACTAAGCAGCCCTTCAGCTATCTAGTAAGGGCTGGATCATCCTCTCCTGGATGCTATTCTGCAGATGTGAAGTTCAAATAGCAGGAAGATGAGAGATGACAAAAGCTTTCTGAATAGCCCACATTTCCTTTTGAAAGCAAGTTTTACTAAGCTCTTTTTAAATTTTGTTGATTTTTTTTTTTTTAACTTTTTCTTAACTGCTCTCTTATCCCCCTAGAAAAAGCCATTGCACTTGCTTCTCTGCCTTCTGCATTGTAAAGAAAAAAAGATAAAAAAAAGGGACAAAACCCCCTTGCCTGCTCAGAAAGGAAAAGTCTTATGTCTAGCCCTGTTTTAATCCCAATAGGTACTAGGTTTCTTCCAATTTCGCTGATCCCACCAAGCTCAAACTGCCCTGAAGCTCCATCTTGAGATGAAACCCTTCTTAAGCACGGGGAAGCTCAAAGTCTAGGTCAACAGCAACGCCACAGACTATCAAACATTCTTTTATGAGAAGGGGCTTTTCTAGGTGTGTGGTCAGGAGATGAGAAAGACCAAGTGCACTAAGCAGAATCTGGGTCACTGCCTGTAAGTATTTCAAATCCAGGCCAACTACAAGTCTCAACAGGTTTAGAAAAATGCCTTAAACTCATTATACTGAATCCATCATACTTACATTTACTTTTAATAACTTGCTGTTCAGAGATGAGTTTTCCAATAGTTTTCTTTTCCTATGTCTGTCTGATGTAAAGGCTGAACTGTTGGAAAGTAATTAGAAGAGGTTACTTACTATAAAAACAAAATATTGCATGAAATGGACAAGAGATAATCATCCTAATGTTTAACACGGTGATTACAATCTGCCATCAGTTGTCATTAGGACAGCAAAAGGCTTCCCGATTGCAACACATACGTTTCATAGTCTTAAAAAAGACTGCATCTCCCTCAGAGTATAGACACACATCCCATTTTCAACACTAATGTCTGAGCAAATTGCAGTAAGTTATGCATGCTACAGTATGCGCCCTGAAGAGTGGCCTTATTAGCATGCTACTTTTAATCTAAAATTCTGATCTTTTTCCTTAATCAAAGGAATGCTTAATACAGAATTTTCCATAAAATATTTCTGCCAGAATAATCATCTAGCCTTTAGAAAGACAACTTCAAAAAAATCTGGATAAAGTTACCAAAAACAAAAAAATATCTCGAGTGCTAGCACTTATGTATTATAGCTGACTTCTCTTATGTAAAAATACATGAGGTTGTAACATTTGTGTCAAACTACTATGAAATTATAAGAACAATTAGTTATTCTTTTCCACAACACTGGAAATTACTGGGCTCTCGATTCTACTAGTTTATGACTTTTCTCTGATCTAACAGAAAAATCGTAACTTGCTGCAGAATGGAGGGGGTTTAATTTTTTCTTTTTTAATTAAAGAGCCCTTCAAACATTCAAAAACTGTCATTACACACAATGGAAGCCTCCACGGTATCATTCATCTCCAAAGAGCTAGATCTCCTGGACATTTCTGAAATATTAATGTGCACTTCTCATTATGCTTAAACATTTTTACATCTCATTACATACCTGAGAAGCCCATTAAAAAGAGAATGGAAAATAATTAAAATGTTAATATTACTGACAGAGTAACTGACACACTTAACTCAAGGAGGATCCAGAGTTTCACAGTAATTTCTTAGCAGGAGTCCTATTTGAACTCTGGGGCATTCAAACATATTTGAAAGCACTGTACGTGCACATACTTGTACTTTGTATTATGCAAGATTTCCAAGCAAACTGTGAAAAGACTATTTGGTATCTAGCACCAGCCACAGCACCTGCATCACCAAGATTGTAATATCTACTTTTCAGTGGAACGGCACCCAGTAAAGGCAGGCATCTCTTCTTCCCAAAGTTCCCAAGTTTGCAAGCCTTCTTAATCTTTTTGTTTGGAAACCAAACTATGCAATTAATATTCCACCTGCATTTTCACTTCAGTTTCTCTGCTCCAGAAACTTATTCTGGTTTTGACAAAAGCATGATTCTGTTCTGGAAATTCTCACCCACTTATGTGGAAAAAGACAGTACTTATTGGCTAGGTAGCAAGGAAGTTAATCACTACCTAAATTCCTGTATCACCATACACTGCTTCTACAAGATTCACTGTGCAAGAATCAAAACATACAAGAGCAGTCAAATCCATTCATTCTGCACCTCTGCTTCTCAGTGCCAAAAAGAATATTTAAACATACAAAGTATCACGCACACAGAAGGACCAAAATATGTATGTTAAATACATATATTCTTATACAAGGGAAACACCACTTAAATAATGCAATATTACAAGTCCACCCAAAGCAGTCTGGTTGTAAACAAACTACTTACTTTTCCAAGTTCTGTAGGTGCTCTCTGACCTTCTGTACCAGGCCCAGCTTGGTATCGTTGACTACAAAATCATCGCAGCGATAACTGCAAGAAAACATTCATCAGAATGTGCAAAGGATTTCAGTGAAGTACCCCAAAACAGTTACGCAAGCCTACGTGCAGGAAGCACTGAAGTGATTCAGTGGAAGATTACAAGCAGAACAGGGGAGCACACCACCCACATACTGAGCTTGGTTCCCTCTGAAAACTACCTTCTAGCAAGAGAAGGTACAGGCACTACCTTTACTACATGTTTTTTCTTCTAGCTCAGTTCTTTAGATTAGCAATCAGAAGTATGATATACTGCTGCTCCCAATGCAGAATTCCAGTTCAACAAAAATTCAAACTTACAGTGTAACCAAAAGCAGTATTAGTAGACAATCAGTAGAAGATTTATGAGGAAAGATCAACTGGAGTCAGGTAAACAGAAGACGAAGTTTTTACTGATGTACAGCGTAAATCGATTTATTTTAATACTGTAAAGTTATCGTTAAAACCCGAGGTGCTGAACACATAATGTAAAAGTTTCTGCTGCAGGGAAAAAAGACCAGGGAAGGTGAACTAGGCGATTACACCATTTGTTCAAAGTTGCACCAGAAGTCTGTGGCAACTCACATCTCGTGCTTTAACCACAAATATCACTCACTCTCTCATATAGTTTTTACATATATAGAAACTCTCACTAAAAACTTAAGCTAGTATTTTGAGCTTGTTCAGGGTAAGCATGCAAATGTAAGTAGCTAAGCTGAAAAAGAGAGAGAAGCTGATCCCCTCACTGCCTCAAAGCATATGTAAAGTGAAGCCAAATTAAAATGGCCTCTCAGCAGAAGCATGGTTACAAAAGCCTACAATCCTATAATGTTCTACAAAGATCTCATTTCCCAAGAAGAAAAGATATTCATTCTAATTTAATATTCAAACTGTGGGCTTGTAATGCCTCACATAGTGCACAAAGGCAAAAGTTACAGACCATTTTTAGAGGGGGGTGTTGGGGGCAATTCTTTTAGGGAATGTTAAAAAAAAACCCCAAACCCACACCTTTATTTCACTATTTTCCTGAGTACATGTATTTACATGTACTCAGTGCACATGTCAATTTAAAGAAATGAGAGAGTAGCAAAGAAAACTCTCACACAGAGAACAGCTGCAAGACAACATTACTTCCGCTGCTGTATTTTAAAACTCCTGCATTTCCTGCCCCCCCAAAAAGGGGGAATAGAAGTCCCAGAGTGACATGGATCCTCTTATCTGTGCTCTATCTTCCTTTCGTGAAGGAAAGATGACACTTGCATACACGAGTAGGATAGCAGAAAGGGGAGGGGAAGGACAGACAAAAATCCCTTAAAACCAAGAACAGAAGTGCTGCAGTCAGTAAGAAGCTCAGCCCTGCAGAATCCACACTTTCACACTGGTAAGCCAAGAGCTCTGTGCAGCCTCCTCCAGTCTCTCTCACAGGAGGCAGTCAGCGGAGCGGCACCCTTACTGCTGTGCACAGGAGCTGCAGGTGATGTTTCACAGTACTCTTGCATGGTTAGCCAAGAGCTAGCTCAAGAACTAGATAACCCATGTTCTGGCCTGTGAAACAGGAAGGTAAGAAAAGACTTAACAGCTCTTGCACCAGCTCTTTTGAGAGCAGTGCAACAGAAAGGGAGCAGAGACTTACCACAACTTCCCTGGCCCCACATCCCACAAAGTTAATGCAGCTATGAGCAGTGTTTGTTAGCCCTCTGCTTACTGTGAAGCATCAACTGCAACTTCAAATTCTAGCAGGCAACTGAACCACTTCCTGTGAAGAAAACTAACTTACTCTGGATATGTTTACTATCAGAACCGTAGCTATTTCTCTCCTTTCCCTTTGGCACTGGACTGACTCAAATACAAAATGCATCCTCATCATCTCAGGTTTCTCTTCTGCTGGAGCAGATTCATCCTTTGTAACTTAATGAAGCCACTGACTTCAGGCACAACTGGAATTTACAATATTCTTTGTTGCATAAATCTGTGATGTAGTTCAAAGGCAATGGTATTGCTAGTGTTAACTCAAACACAAGGTAAAATAATATGACTCTCAAGATTTCCAAACACTGAACACAGCAGTTGTGGATACTCACTTATGCAAGATCTAGAAATTAGAAAATCGCTATTGTCAGTAATAGAGTTAAAAAAAAAAAAAAAAAAAAAAAAAAAAAAAATTCCCACACACATATTTTTTCGGGGGGGGGGAAGAAGCCATGTTTTAAGTAGTCATATTCAGCTTTATCAGCCACCTACAATTACCTAATGAAGCGTTCCTGCATTTGTCACTCTCGCAAGGTACCACACTCCAAGGACAACCATCAGAGCAACCACCCAGGACAGCTTTGGTGAGACGTAAACACAGTGCAAGTGGATCCAGTACAGTCTGACTCCTCCTCAATACCAAGTGTGTCCACACCGCCAGAATACTAGCACAATTACATTACTACACCAGTTGTGTAACTACTAACATTTATAAATGGGGAATGAAAGCAGATGCAAGCTCACTGAAAGCCTCTAAGCCAAGTTATTGCAGAAATATGTTTTAACACTTGCTCCCATGCCCTAAAGATCACATTAACCTTAGCCTCATCTCACATACCAGTTGCATCTCACATAAAATTCCAAGTGAGCACTTTCCCCAAGATGAAGGAATAAAACTAAACACATCATTAAATGTCAGCATCCTTGCTACAGTGGAAAAGTGATTTTAAGATTAACTTAAAAACAAGACAAGCTTCTATTTCTCTTTTTAACAGGCAGGTTTTTTAAGCCACCTCCCTTGCAACACTGAGGATTCAACACTACTACTAGAAATAACAGCACTACTGAAAGTTTATGTTTTAATAGCTTAAAATTTGCAAAGCCCACACACCTTAAAGGTAAACTGCTGAGAGATTACTTCCTATATGTGATGCTGACAGTCAAAACAGATGTTTAATTTGTGATGCTCAGGATTATCACAAATTACCAATACACCTTCTTGCATACAGCAGTTCTACACTATGCTTTTAACAGCAATTGTACAGGACAAAGTTTATACTTTGGGGAGGGTCCCTTATATGGATTAACACAATATTTTCCTCTCCATACACTTTCTATTTTTAGCACCTCTGCTGCCTCCAAGGCCTCCTTTGCTGCTAAAATGGCAGCGAGCCAGTGAATGTATGCACTGCTCTGGGAAACACTTCTGCTTAGTGCTGGCTGCTTCAGTAGGTTACAGAACTTCGTGCTACATTTAAAAGCCCTGATTGGATTACAGGACAAGAAAAATTAAGAAAAAACAAGTTTCCTTACTTGTACTAACACCTTACATAAGTAAACTAAGTTTCACTGTCTTTTATCAAAAAGGCTTTTTTACCTTCTTTAATTTCCAGTGACTGTAGAATGGAAAATAATGGTTCTAACCAATCTTATTTTCGGATACTCATGCACTAGCATGGTAAGTCTGTTTTTTAATTAGAACCACCATCACAAAAAGAAAGACTAAAAAAGTATTTTTTAAAGTCCTTGCCACTTAGTTATTTTTACATCAGCGTAGGCCAGGGGCAGGCACATTAGCACAGTGATGTCCCTTTAAGAGATAACAAGGAGGCTAATGGGTCAGAAACCTGACCTGCAAATTGTGCCCGAGATTAAATTAATACGGGAAACATGTTCTGCAAATACATAAACAGGGCAGCCTTTCATCTTCTGTGCACTAGCACAGAGAAAACATTTACAAGAGTCCTCTTTCAGGAAGCGTATTTCTGAAAACAGGCTTCTTACACATATCATTTTACTTCTCATGCACAGAAAAACAACCACTAACACAGCAGGAGAAAGCACTGCATGATAGCACGAAGAGAATAAGATCTGTACTTCTGGTTAACACTTTGTGCTTAGTACTCTAGAATTAACTGAAAGGCCGATTACCTCCAAAAAGTGGAAATTCAGGAGTCTGTTTTTCTCAGTGCTTAGGGTCTCAAACATAATTCAGCCTGAAGATTTAGTACTGCATCTACTTTCTCAAAAGTGACCCAAGCATCAAGAAGAGAGTCATACTCTCGTAAGAAATAAAAGATCAACATTCAACTTTTCCACTGTGAAGACTGAACAAATAGGAGGACATAGAAGAAAGATCAAACCTTCTGGAAAGCAAATCCCTAGTTGCCCAGTACTTAATGATGCCTCCTTGAGCATACCTATATTTTTCAAAACATTATCAAATTCATAAAAAACCTCATCTCAAGATTAAAAACCCAAAAAAATACCCACCAGAACTGAAACATTTTCCTTTCAAAGCTATGTTGAAAGCTTGTGATCAGGTAAAAGAAAACATACACACCTAGACTTCCACACCGCAATGCAATTACAGGAGACTGCTCCACCTGGTTTTGGTTTACAACAAGACTGCATATCAACTATAAACAAAATTCAACAAACCATGGTAGCTTCAACAGTCACATAGCATTTCTTCCCCTTGGACTGACAAGAATAGCTAAGGCAAACCCTGGACTGTGCTCTCATGACTGCATTAAAGTTTATGACACCGCCAAAGAAAAGCAAAGGATTAAGTGCCTTCTGCATAGAGAAGGGCCCATACAGGCCTGTTCACTGCCACTATCGTACAAGCTAAGGAACACAGTCAATTGGGATCCACGGGATAAAACTGGAACAAGAGTATTCTACCCAACTTGGTGCAGTAGAAAAAATTGCAAATAAAAATATAAAAGCCAGTACTGCATCAAAATGTCTCCATTATTGTTATAGTCGAAGGAAAATTCAATTAAGTCTTTGGATTGTATTTTCTTGACTTTCAAATTATTGAGATTGCCCACACCGCTAGCATAAAATACTCATCTTTAAATAAAAGTTCACTTAAAAGAAACATTATTGCATAAACATAGAACTGTCTACTGGATTCATGTCTACACTGAAGAAGCTAGCAACATTTCCAAATTTAATTTCCACAGTAGCTAGTTATGACTCAAATTCACCCAACTATTTCCTTTAACTGGCAAGCACTATTTGACAGCAGCCCCTACAGTACTGCCTAAGCTCATTTCCACTGAAAAAATTGGGTCAAATAACAAATCCAGGTATCTTTTCCTGATTATCAGGTGGGAAAAACCTGAAATAGCCTAAATGAGAGCAAAAATACACTGCTTTTGAAACTTTTTCAGCTTCACAGGTCAGCAAGGTGCTCTGTCTTGCTTGTATTACACACCAAGCCTCAGCAAATTTGGCATACTATTTGTCATAGTAAATGGAGATATAATCAAGACTTCAAATACCCTGCTAAAATTCCTCCACGCATTACTGCCTTCAGAGTGACTAGAAGACAGGTCATACTTCAAACAAAACAAAAAGCTACAACATAGAACTCAGTTGTTAACAGCATTAATCAGGAAAGTGGAATTAGCTTCCCACAGCTGTTCCAATGCTGGTAACCTGTACATATCTATCACTTGGAAAAATTTTAGGTTTTCTAATGTTTTCACATAGGAGCAGATAAAAATGCCAGTCATTTACATAAAATGTAAATAGAAGCAAAATCCCCATACATCACAAAGCTACTCAAACCCTTCTTCTATACTTAACATCCATACAGTTTTTGTCATTGCTGCACCATCTGAAGAATTTTTTAGTTGCTCCTAACAAAATTTCTTCAGGTGAGACCACTTAGCAGTGATTCTAATTGCAGGGGATAAAAATATTTGTTACAGAAGTAGTCCTCATAAAAGTGGATACCCAAACTTCAGCAGACTTTTCCCTGGCAAAGTACACAAAAGATACCCAATTATTTGAACAAAATCCCCATCAGTGGAGCCATATACTCAGTAATTTCATGAGACCGTAACATGGATTCTCTGAGATTTGCACTGTTCAAAACCACCATAGCACACAAGTAACAACACACATGGGGAACCATGAAGCTAACAGGAAACGGGGAAGCAGCTGTCAACAGTTTTGCTTACAGGTGAAGAGGCTGCAAGATGCTGAATGCACAAAAGCACTGCTTTCAATAGACTTCCAGTCTTTGCTCTCTTGAGGAACAAGGAAGACAGGGAACCCAATACTACCAGCATAACTGTTAAATCTCCTAAACAGTGCTTGTATCTCAGCCTAAGAAACTAATAGAATAAATTAGCTCAGGCCATTCTTCTGTTAAAAGAATCAGTTCTGTGATTTTGCTACTTAATCTTGCCAGAGAGTTGATGCTGCTTCATCACTTTCCCAAACTCATACTGGTTGCACCAAATCTCCAAAAGAAACAAGCCTTTCTTTCAGAGTGAAGAAAAAAATTAATATTGGGAAAAAAAACCCAAACAAAACCCATGCACACTCCCCCCTTAAGTTCACATCTCTGGGGCAGAAACTATAGTGTATTACTTTACTTTCAGAGGATATGCAAAAGGCTCTATCAATTTGATGGAAGGAGTAACTACAACCAAACAACAGCTTTTGCAATTAAAAGGTTAGGTTCTCTACATACCCCAAAGCAAACAAAAGCAACTCCAAACCACATAAATAGCACTTATTTTAAAAAGTTTCTGCTAAGTCATTTGAAATGCAGAAGTTTAGCCACAACCACTGCTACGCTACACATGCAAAAGCAGAGGGTTATTTCATAACTCTTTTCTGTTTTTAAACAGTCACGTCTGGAAATCAAGAGATGAAATGCTCAAAAATGTGTGTGATATAATGCGTCACAGAAGTCTACAGTCAGCACCTTCTAGTATCAAAAAAAGTTGTCAAATTACAGCGTTTAAACCCTTACCAGTATGTACTGTAACTACTGCAATCCATACACACGGTATGCTGAACTTTCTCTTGTTTTTCTGTTTTCTTATGATTGGTGATAGGAATCTGTGCATCTTCATAATGCTTTTTTGCATGGCCATTCACATATCTAAAATAAATGAAAAGCAAAAAAAAAAAAATCTTAACACTTTAAAACAGTTACTTAGCCAACACTCATTGAAAATAAGGAAAAAAAAAAAAAGGCAGCCTAATAAGCATCCAGTATTTATACAAGTGTTAAAATAAGCAATTCCCCTGTCTAAAAACATTGGTTAAATTTTCTATCTTTTTACCCTTTACTCTCCTACATTGTCCAAATTAATCTCTCCATCTCCTTCACAGCAACCACAAATCAGCATTCTTGCACCAAACCCCAGGATCTGGGCCCTGAACAGACTGATGCACCTTCACGTCTGAGAAAATCATTAGTTCCCTTTTTCCACATCTGAAATGCGGTTAGTTCTCCATATTGCTTTCCTATAGACTTTTCTTAGAGCTCTACTTTTTTCTCCACCTGCACTCATCATGTTTGTGGTTTCTTTAAGATTGTGGTGACCCTCAGATGAAAGCACCTCCTTTTTAAGCTTTCTCATTCTGCAGCACCATTTAATATTAGAAGGGGGCCCTACAGGAAGGCTGGGGAGGGACATTTTATAAGGGCAGGTAGTGATAAAACAAGGGGTAATGGCTTTAAAGTGGAAGAGGGGAGATTTAGATTGGATATTAGGAAGAAACTCTTTCCTGTGAGCATGGTGAGATACTGGAAGAGGTTGCCCAGAGAAGTTGTGGATGCCCCCTCCCTGGAAGTGTTCAAGGCCAGGCTGGATGAGGCTTTGAGCAACCTGGTCTAGTGGAAGGTGTCCCTGCTGATGGCGGGGCGGTGGGAACTGGATGAGCTTTAAGGTCCCTTCCAACCCAAACCATTCTATCATTCTATGTTTTACAACGTTCCCGAATTATGTTTTACAACGTTCCCGAATTTGAAAGGCTCTAGGGCTTGAGGTCACATAACTGAAAAAGAAATCTAAAATCCTACAGCTCTTTTGCTGACACAATGAGCATTTCCACACTAAAAATCTGATACCTAGAAATTTAAGCATCTTCAATTAAAAAAGTGTCATTACAAATGCAACAGCCCTAAGTACCAGCCGAAAATCATTAACACTTGAAAATGCGTAGCCAGACCTCAGGTGAAGTCCCTTCTCCCCCGCTTCCTGCTTGTTGAGCGCAGTAATGCTAACTGCTATGAACTCTGGACATGCTCCACATGAAGGTCTTTGTATTCTACACTTGTTCTCACACCAAGGTGAAAACAATTCTGCTAACGCAGCTTTGCTAGTTAAGGCACTGAAGCCACAGCGTTACCGACACTGCTGTGCTGGCAGAACCCTGCAACAATTATGTCATAACCCGAACGAGACAGTCGAGCTTGCAGGAGTTGGTTTTCTGCCTAACAGTGCAAATGACAGGTTTATAAAGCTATGCTCCCACCAGAAGTGCTCTGCTGCTATAACATGGTCAGTCATGTTCCCAACGACTCTAACCTGGAGGATGTACTTCAAGTGAAGATCTGAAAAGCTCTACTTCTCTTCCTTTAATTTCAAACGTTATCTGAACAGAAGAATATGCTGTGTGCTTTCGTGATCAAAAGTGCTCCCATTACAAGGTACATTACATTCTTCTCATTCAACTATTTTCCATTCTAAGGATGGGAGCAGTTTGAAAAGGCAAAACAAACTGCGTAAGTAACTGACTAAATGTCTACTAACTGCACACAAGAAAGGTCCTATGTGGACAGTAATAACATTTTTTTTTTTAAATTGTCAGCAAGTAAAATATTCCTAACTATTTTTTTCACATAACATGAAGTAGCTCCCCCTCTCTTAGCTCTCACCAAGTATACATGTATAATATAAATTAATAAATAAAAAGAGAAAAAAAAAGGGGGTTGTGCTGAAAACTGAATAAGAGACATTGTTAAAATTGTGGCGGTTACTGCTATCCAGATCAAAGAAACAAAACCTGGAGTTTATTGAATCCACTTTAAAAGATAAAGTCACTAAATTTAATTATACTTTTCCAGAATAAAAGCACACCAGCACAGATGTTACTCTACAAATGAAAGCATGTTCACATCTCAGATACTGGCTAAATCTCAACACTAACTGCATTCTCACTAATATGTGCATCTTAAAACATTTATGCAGCAGCAACTTTTCTACAATTAGCCTGACATATAAACAACAGCACTGACTGTATTAGTTGAAGTACACCAAAAGAATTTTTAGAGGAATGATACAGATCAAAAACCAGGTGTACTCTGAAGGAATTCTGATGGTAGCTTGTCCATATATGTTATGGCAGTAACTTTGTTCCAAAACTACACTTCAGTACATTTATAGTATTTTCTGTCTAAGATGGACAGTTGCTATTTTTCTCAAAATAAGCTGTGCCAACTTTGGATTTGTGGGTTTCCAAGAACTCTTATTGGTTTAATCTTATTACAATAGAAGCACCTTTTACAGAATGGAATTTTACCATAATTCACTGAGTTAGCAGTTCTCCAGGCACTTTTTGAGCTGAGCAATTACATTCACCTTACACTTTTCTTTTGGAAAAAAAAATGATGTTGAGTGTAATCTCTAGACTCTCATAAGGTACCAAAGAAGTGTGTTCAGTATAAGCATGCAATGTTAAATGAGATCATGAAAGGTTTATTTCAGGGAACTGGAAGGCATTCAGGAAAACGTTGAATGAACTGCCTCAGAATAGAGCAACAAAGGAGAAAGATAAAGGTCTAATTAAAAGATTTGCACGCTAACATGTTGTACCCACCTTCCACAATGGACACTTGAGCACGTCAGACAGACCCACGGACTTTTATTTGACCGGCACACTATAAAAGATTTAAAGGAAAAAAAAAAAGTGTCAAATGAATTGGCTCTGATATTACATTGTATAACACATCCTCAGCACTAGCAATAGGTCTGTTGACTCCACGTTAGCAGCACAGTTATATAAAATAGTCAGTCATGATCATTAACCTATTATTAGGGAGTAAACTGACAGCCTGAAGAGCTCTTGAGACTAAAGCACATTAGCCTTCTTCTGGCTTGGGTTTTAGTTACAAGCTACCTGTTACTTTCCATGAAAAATTTCAAATTTTTTGTTTGTACGCATCCACATGATGTCTACTTGATTTTGAAACACAACACAGAAATAACAGAAGTAGCAAAAACGCTGGTAAAGTTCAAAAAGCTTTTTGGCTTTTAATAAATCAGTCCACCAAACACGGGAAAAAAAGCCACAGCACTTCACTTCTGTTTCCTAAAACTAGGTATACAAGAAGCCATTTTAAAGAAGATACTGCAAGAAAGCCTGGCAATCTGATAAGAAGCACAGAGAATACATTACTGTGCAATGCATGATAATATGCACCATTTATACAATACATATTCCTGTGCTGCAGTGCTGGTAAAGGCTTTATCCATAAACATTTCACCCTTTCAGTCATGCACAAGAAGCTGAAAGATTCCAATGTAACACAGTGCTGTGCTTCGCAATCCATTCAAGACACTAGAAGATGTTATCTAATGTTTTAGCTGTCTTCTAAGTCTAGAAAACATAAATTAAATAAATGTGGGGTTTTTTAAGCTAAAGAGCTTAAAGGGAAAAAACAGCAGATACTAGAAAATGATGAAAAACAATCCCAGGGTAGAGTCATAGAAACAGGATATTCCAACTCCTACTCCAACCCAGTAGCAAAGTCTGCAAATTCAGATTAGAAACAAAATCTCAATAAATAACCCATGTAGGCAGAACACAGTAAAACAGGAAAGCAGAGCAAAATTTCCATCGGTCAAGTTAAGAAAAAGTATGTGCATCTTGATAAATAGCAATTTTGGAACTACAACTAAATCTACACCAAACAAATTTGAGAGGAATTCCAATTAGGATCATATCATTGAAGGAGGGATGATACAACATACAACGTTTAGATGTGAATGAAGTAAAATTGTTAACAACAATCCATTACCACAAAATTTACAGAAATAGCATTACACTTTCAGATACCCAATTAATATGATGAAAAAATAAAAAATTAAATGCCAAGTACACTTCTGCGAGGGCAGAAAACAACAATAAAAAGCTGACTCCAGTTATCCCTAAAATACAAAAGGGTATGATGCCACCTATTTTTTCTACACAGTCATGTAGAAAAAATGCTTCTTGGGGCAAACAGTCAAAGAGTCACAGAGGTAAAATAAGACATCAGAAACATGAGGGTCTGTGAGGCCAGGGGGAAGAAGGGACAAAAAGAGGAGCATTAAATCCCAGTGTACATATAATTTATATTGTTATTTATTGTGGAAAAGCTTGAGAACAGCCTTCCCTGTCTGGAGTCACACCTTCAAGAAAAGGAACCAAGGAAACCAAAGCATGCACAGAAGCTGCTCCAGAGCAGGATCACCTGAGCAGGCTAATTCAGGACTTCCAGCAAAACTCAAAAATACATTCACCAAGCTACAAACCATGGTACATATCAAACTGTTCAGACTACAGACTATCAGTGAAAACTATGCTAACAAATGTGAAATAAGTTTCTTTACCAAATTAAATGCTGATTAAAAAAAAGAAAAAGCAAGGAGGGGGTCAACTTTTAATCAGGAGAGAAGTGAGTAGCTTAGCTGTTTAGAAGAGCCAACATACTTTTCCACCATTAGATATCGCCTTTTTCACTTAAATCAGGTGGAAAAATAAATTCGCTAACACTGCTGCTTAAAGAATTGTTTTCTGGATTTTAAGTCATTATTAAATATTCATATTTTGTATTTCAATACATAGGCCCAATCCAAGGAATGTTTAAAACTAGAAATTTTACTATGTTCACTGGAAAAAAAAAAAGTACATTCCACAGAAATATTCTTTGAAGTAACTCTTTAGTAAAGTCTCCAAAACTGTTTTCTTCCAACTGCTGCAATGATTACTTTACTTGAGAAACACTTTTTCCTCACGTCTCAGCTTTCTGAATTTTTTTTTTTTTTTCCAAATTTTCCTATTTCTAAAGCTGATGGGCTCCCACAGCTGTGAGGGTAATTTTGCAACAGATAGCACACAGCTACGTAGAGCTGTTTTGGCTTACATTTCAAGGTACAAAAGCAGAAGTTGTTTGTCTAATTTGACCAAAATGTTATCAAGAAAACCAACATCTGACACCAGCAAAGAGAAGAGCAAATGAAGACCTTATAGAGCCATCATTAGCTAAAAATGAGCTAAATGGACCATTAGTCTAACGTGATACAATTTTATCTTCCTGTATTACACAAACTGAGAGGTCAAAAAGTAACCACAAGAAGAGAAGCCAAAACCATTAATGCACTTAAACACAGACGAAGTGCTGCATGAACAAACCACTACCCTATGCTTTCCTAGCCAGGAACATGAAAGTCTTCCTAGCATTAGAATCCCAGCAGAAATCTCCCACTTTGAAATAACATTTTTGCTTTCACTATGTTATCATCTGTGGACAGAACCGGTTCTCAACCAGTTCTTTGACCAGTAGGTCAATTCATGATGATACAAACTATTATTTTACTTTCCATCACATACCAGACAACTACAGTTTCACACTCAGGTATTTTGAATACCAGTACTGCTTGCTTGTCAAGTGTTAAATTATATTGAAGTAGTGCTCACTCTGCAGAGTTCACACCAGGTTTAAGTGTTCTGCACAAAGCCAGCAAACAAGTCCAGCAACTCTGCACAATGCCAAAAAAATCAGCATCCACTAAAACATTCCATCTTTCATATCAGGGAGTAGGAAATGATGGCTCATTTGTTTAACTTTTAGGAAGAACTTTGCTCCAATTGCATCACATTAGAAATGTGTAGTTTATCTTCAGCACAAACATCTCCTCCCACAAAGAACTCGAGTAGCATGGACTCCCACCAAGATTAAACACAGAAGCCAGTATTAAATTTGTGACCTACAGTTGCTCTGTTCTGAGAGGATTACACAATTAATTTTTTGAAAGGTTGCTGAAGATTGCATTCTGTATTTCTCTGAGGTTGGCTCTAAATGTGCAATAAAGCTTGACTCTCTAGGCATTCCTCAATTCAGATCTTGAAGCAGTTACCATTTGTTACTTAGTATTAATAAATTAGGTTAGGCCAGGAGCTTCAGGCATTAGGCAGGACTCTAACAAGATGGGCACCATGGAATGCACAGCAAAAGCACAGTTAGCACCCTGAACTGCTTATAATCTAAATAAAAGGTAGACAGTATGGCTCCATCTGTGAAGAAAGTGCATGTTTTTCCTTTCAGATGTGGTACTGACACGAAGGCACTAGGCTTAAAAGTAGACCACCAACAAAAGACACAGATCCATAGCAAATCCCTTCTCAATTCAAAGCACATTATACAGTCCTGGAACTTGTCCCTTTTAACAAACTTGAGTGTTCAGGACTTTCAGGTCAGACAGTTACCCAGAATCGTGAGGAAAGACTTGCAAACCCATTTGTACAGGTATATGTGTCTTCCTTCAATAATCAGTATTCCAACAGGGATTTGGGTTGGGTTTTTTTAGTGCTATTTAAAAAAAAATAGGAGGAGGGGTTCATTCTATTAGCACCACCTACTTTGAAAGAAAGCTATGTTCAACAAGCATCTTAAAAAAACTTCAATTATCTGTGTTTGTTACCCCTTGTTTAGCAATATACAGGCTAAGGAACACTGGCTGCTTTCCCAGCTTGAACTAAAGTGGCTACTGCAACAGTTACCAACCGCCTTATTTTGCCTCATATTTTTAGGATAGCTCCTAGTGCTTAGGTAAAGATCATACTAACATGCCAAAATAAAAGGGAAAGCATATCTGCAATGCCACAACGTTGTCTGAAGCAGTAAGTAATTTGCCATTTTACATCAATACCAGCTTATTCAACAGCTGAGAAACATAAATTTTTCATCATGTCATAGGAAGGGGAAATACTACCTTTTACAGAACCACTTCTCTAAGAGAAATCTGAATACTCATTTATTATACAGCCTACAAAGCCCTTTAATAAATGGAGTATCAACCCATCCTCAAGAGAGCAAGCATCACTACAGAGTCATACATAACTATGGGAACAATCAAGAGATGGCCCTCCTCCTCCAGCTTCCACTTTCTGTAAATCATCCTGATAAATAACATCCATCAAGTTATGCCAAGTAGAATGAGTAAGATATGACTAAGCAGTTTGGCACTCTCATCACAGGGCCCCCACCCCATCTTACCCTCATCATCACTCCAATACGTACTTCTGAATCTTTTTTTTTCTCCTTATCGAAAACTGACTCCAAGCACAGTCTTGTGAAACATGAACACTCCTGGCAAACACTGTAATCCTTACAGAACAGAGCTACGGATTTCCACTGTAGGAAAGTTACAACTATGTAAAAATATACAAACAAGCCGTGAAACTAATAGTTTTGTTTAAATAGCACACTGCATAATTTAGAAATTGGCAAAAGAAAAAAGCAGCAGGAAGAGGAGGAGACAGGAAGCAGTTTCTGTAAAGCAGCCAAGAAATCTGCAAGATACAGTGTCCACCAAAGATCTGGCAGTAGCGCAGCCATGTGATCAATGCAAACAAGCGACTTCACCAGTCACAGGAGCACAAGTGACCTGAGGCCATAGCTCTACTACAGAACTCTGCTCACATACAAGTTTTAAAATAGTCCTTTATTACATCACTAAAGAAAAAGCCACAAAATATCAGCACAATAAGAGCAATACTTTGGTCCTTCTGTTAAGAGCACATTAAATGGAAACAAGATTAGGGTCATTAAACGATTTCTAATAATTTCCACAGCCTTTACAAAATGGCCTGGACTTTGTTCTCAAAAGGAGCTGT